CCAAAATAATCACTTTTATTTATTTTTAAAATACCTGAGTGAACGGTTTTCTTTTAATATCCAACAAATTATTGAATCATAAAATCAATGAGATTTTTGCATAATCAGATATTAATTATTTAAATAGGTAATAACGAACTAATGTTATCGAATTCCACCAGCCATGATATGCAAAACAAATTGAAAAGTACATTTTATTTATAGATAACGGTAAAGTAGGTAGTAACATTGCAAAACATCATGCAATCTCCCATCGGAAACAAATCATTGTATCAGTGCTGTTCAAAGTTCAGGAGATAAATAATTAAATATCAATACATCCGTCAATATCGATATATACAGCAGAAAATTAATTACCTCGATTTGAATAAATAAATAGCGTTTTTATTGAATGTTCTCGTCATTAGGAGAAAAGGATATGGCGTAGGCATAGTGTGGGAGAGCCTTGCTTCGGTACTTGGGGTCGGCTGGACCGGAGTGATATCACGGACTCACAGAAAACCGTGAAATTGTGTTTCGTCGTGTGAGTGAAGTCTCCACATCTCTCCCAAATCCAAAACTCTCCAAATCCCTAATCCCTATAAGGTCGACAACGCACTCATAAGGGTTTTTCATGAGCGGCGCTGATTGATTACCATCAGGTAATCCGAAAGTTGGTTTGCCGTCCCATCACATAAAATTAAAATGTTCTCGTCATCAGGAGAAAAGGTCATTCTAGGAGCCCAAACTAAAAATGTTTAATAGTTGCATCATTACATCAAAAATAAAAAAATATACGACAACTATAGGCTGCTTTTTATCAACACAGCACGCGGGCGAAGCCGCTGGCGGAAGCTAGTATAAAAAATCATTTTGATGACCAACTCTCTTTTAATCCTTCGATACAGAAATCGTTGCACCCAATATACAAAATAAATACGGAAAGAGAAAAAATGCACAATGGATATGAGTTCATCAAAGATTTAATATGGACACAGCGCAGGCCAAAAACCTAACATGCAGATCAAATATTGTGCCAAAACGAGATGACGTCATGGTTTTTTACAAGTCAAAGGTATAAGAGTTATTTTATTATTGCAACGAATTGAGGATCTTAGCATTTTAAAGCTTAAGGGTACATTACAAATACAATACCAATTATCTTCTGTCTTCTGCAGAAGGGATTAGTATCATCTAGAAGAATTTGTATTATTGTATGTGGGATTTTTTTTTGTCAGGGGAAAATCATCAAATGACTTCTCCCGCCCAAGGTAAGGCGAGAGAGAGAGTGTCAGACTCTCACTGACTAAAATCCCACCCGTCTCCTGCTTTAGGCTGAGCCTTATGTTTGGGTTTAACCTTTCAATTGTGGTAAAGAAAGGATAGGTGCATGAACGCCGGCGTTCGCTTGGGTTTTGACGAATTAATTGAAATAAGCAATAAGAAATTGAAATATGCAAGCCGTATTATTTTTGCCAAGGTTGAATAGAAGATTCATCAGACGAAAAAGACGATCAACCAGCAAAGAGCTGAGAAGTAACAAGGCTTTTCCTTATGGAAAGAAACTGATGATGCCATATTGTGCTTCTTTGTAACTATACTTCTTGCTATAGAACACGAGTGTGTACAAATACATGATTAGAATTCAGCACAAAACGTCACACGTACCACAAATTCTAGGCCAGGAAGTCGGATAACCTTTAACTAGAATAGATTCACCTGATCGTTCCGGCCAAACACAAGTACGTGTATAGATATCCCTTTATTAACCTCGAAGCTGATTACAAGAGTATTACGCTTAAGCTTAAGTGAATAATATATTGTAATGTCAATTTCAAGGCTCTAATTGGTATGGGTACCACATAGTCTATCTATACGAGGAAAACTATTAAAAAGTGGTTCAATAACGTTCGGAAAAATAAAATAAACTTGGTTGCGGGTCTTAAGCAAACAATGGAAATCCAGTGCCTCCGAAGGGTTACAATGCATTGCATATTTTAAAAGATAACACGTTCTTTTCTTGTGGGTATGAAGGTCATATCGGTTTGAAATGAAACTAGTGCTATATTAATTATGTTTCAAATAGTAGAATCCTTACTCAAAGCCAGGAAGAAAGTATCTCATGCTTTATACTCTTTAATGTTAGTGCTTGGGGGGTTTCGATCCCTTTTCTGGCTCTCACATTCCTCTAGATATTCTACGGGGATACAGTGAAAGGTGGATTTGATTGCTATACTTTTCCATACCCATCAAGCAATCAAAGACAGAGCTCATAAGGCTTCGATGAGAGATTTTCTTAACCTTAAGAAAACCCGTGGTATCATGTATTATTTAGACTACAATATGAAAGAGAACGAATGTTATTATAAGAAGGAATGTCATACTGTTTATTATATAACGGCGACGTGGTTAAAGGTGTGTGACCGTGCATCATTAGAAATATCAGGTTAGATGCAGTATGTACAAGTTGTTTAAGTGAGCCGACGGAGAAAAAGTCTTTTGTTTTTATGGTACGAATGTTGGATGGAGCATGCATGATAAAATTGGCAATAGAATTTAGATAACATGGAATCATTGTCTGTTATTTGGGAAGATTAAAGCTTTACTACGTTTTTTACTAATATTATAAAGAAGTAATATTTGTAAGTTTGTATGTTTTTAATGTTTGGAACTACTGGTCGGATTTCCAAAATTCTTTTACTGATAGATAGCTACAATGTTTCTGAGTGCTGTAGGTTATAAAACATCACCGAAACATCGCAGTGGTAGCTCTATTTTTATAAAATAAATTTGACTTTCTCAATCGACAGATCTGAAAGTCATTGGAGAAGGCTTGTGTTCGGAAGAGGATATCTTAAAAATATAATAGTTGATATGATGATAATTAATAAGCCCGTGTATATTGTTATAATAACTCCCTACCATGCATTTTGAAACCGAAAACAAAGGAAGGTGACCTTAAAACAAAACAAAAAAACTTCCATTATTCCGATAAAAGACTAACGTCTTCTTACAACACCTAAACAAATCACTTTTGTAAACCTTTTAATATGTTAGTGGAGCGCACGATATCAATGAAAACGTGTTTAAATGCGCAGTTATACACAAGTTATAGAACAAAAAAACTTTAGCAACTAGTTTGTACGGAAGACAACGCTCTTTGCACCGAGTGATAGCGATGATAACACAACATACATATACTTCGGACTGCGTAGTTCATACAACCGCCTTTGTATAATAAGTATTGTTTTAGAAGCATTATTGTTTTTTTTATATTATTTAACAATATTTTTTTTTCATGTGATAGGATGGCAAACGATCATACGGGTTAGGTACCTGACTGATTGTAAGGATTCAGCACCGCCCATGAAAATTTGCAATAACAGAGAAGTTACGTTAGGTTTGTTGCCGACCTTTTGGAGATTAGGGATTTGGAGATTTTGGGATTGGGGAGGGATTAGGGGAGGGTAAGGATTGGGCTTCTAGTAGCCTCATTCACTTGGCGAAACACAAAGCCGTGGTAGTTTCACGCCGGTTTCGCACTTACTTGAATATATTAAAATACGCGATACAAAGACTTAAAGGACCTAGCATTTGACCTTTTTGTTTTTCTGTGTGCTGCAACATTTCTCTTTGCATTCATGGTCTATCAGCTACATTAACGAAGTATCGAACTTACTTAATTTCGTTTGGAGTTCGAAACAAAAGACTACTCATGTTAATTTCTTACTTTATTTAGGTCAGGCCAAAGTACGTCGTATTTAATTTAATTCAGATTCTGTGTTTGTTTAATTTATGTTATTTAATTAAGTCCAGGTCAAGGGGCATTCATTATTTGAACTAAATTGGTCATTGCGCATTGATTATAAGCAGTAATCATTCCTTTTCACTATGACGACGGTTTCGCCAGTATGGGACGATTTTTTTGTGAGATGGGGCGAAAATGAGGTCATCAGATCTCAATATGGTCAGCAATCAGGGTCGCCCAATCATGTGCGGATCGTAGCTTTGTAAGGCCCAGGGCTGAAATAATTTGGGGCCCTACAAAACTAGTCAACGAATGCTTTTTCCCAAATATTATTAAATTCAGTATATTTAAAAATTCACTTTTTGATGTTATAAATTTCGCGCGATTCGTTTGTTTTTTGGTATCGTCTATTGTTATCAAGGGGGCTGAAGGCCCTTAACTTTCACGGGGTCCCGAGGCTACAGCCCAAAGAACCCTTAGGCCTTCCGCTGCGCCCAGTGGACCCCCTGACACCAGGCTTGTTACAAAGTTATAAAGACTATGCCAGTCTATTGAGGGTTGTCAGAAATTCGAGGATTGATTATAGAGAAAGGATTTAGATTTCCGTAAACTGACCAACACAGCAGACAGACACAGAAATTAATCATTTTTATAATAATATACTTATTTTTTTTTCATATGAAAAAATAACATTCATAATATTTTTATTTATTTTAATGTTCATGCATACACTTGCCTATTGTAATAACACAAACAATAGTAAATTACAGTTTTTCAGTACTTGATACTATCTTTCAGCGATAAACATGCAATAACTAGCAATATTACATACATACTAACAGTATCATTAGGTACGGGTATATTATTATGTAAATGAAGTAAATATTTTTTTAATACTAACCACATACATAAAAAACATATAAAAATATATATGTAAAAATGAATCTTTGTAAATGTTTGTAAGACTATTTACTTCAGAACGGCTGTATCAAATTGGAAAATTATTATTTTTTATTATTTACTCGTATATCTCAGGACTTTTCTTAGAAATGTACTGAAAGTCAAGAATTAAAATTAACATATGCTGTCTGGGCCGGGACATAACTATTTTTAATAAGAAAAAGGGAATTAATAGACAATAGGATACAGATTTTAGTGAGATATACATCAATTCGCACAAGCTATTGTCGACGTAAACGTGAAGTATTAAAGAACAAAATTAATTTAAGGTCTCAAAAACTTGCCTAAGATTATAAATGATGTTTCAACTTACCCTGGAAACTGGTGCACACCGTCCACAGGCCAGTCCCGAAGGTGGTCTGTGTTGAGGTTCTGGAGCTGGGATTACGGGTCCTTCCTTTATTCTGAACAGCGACGATTTGCGGCACTAGTAACAAAAAAATGAATTATTATTACAATTTATAAAGCACTGTTGTATGATTAATGACTTCTAAAAATTATGACAATCTAGCCGAGGTTGCGGGTTAAGCGCAATAACGTATAGTGAATTCAGCTTGGAGTAGGAGAAGGAACGGGGCGGTTTTTAGCCTGACATTCCTGTCTAACTGCAGGATTGGCGCGGTGGCAACCGGCTGCCACGCAAAGTGTCGCGGGTTCGATTCCCGCACGGAACAACTCTTTGTGTGATCTACAGATTGTTGTTCCGGGTCTGGGTGTGATGTGTATGTGAAATTGTGTGTTTGAAAAGGCACAACGTATTTTTTGAAAGAAAAAAAAAATCCCCTCGACCCAACCAATGGCGAAGTAGACACTTGATGATTTCGGTGTTCAAAAACAAAAGAAGAATCTACGGCGATTAAAAAAGTGATAAAATAATAGTACACTTTTGTATCTATCATCATCATCATTATATTCTTTTTCCTTCTACCATTACCTATAAACTATTAAATATACTGTATCCCTTGTTAAAAAAAGACAAAGCAAAATAGGGGAACCATTTTACATTTTCCTTTCACCCTTATCAAATATCACAAATCCTCTATTTCTGAATCTGTCCAACATTTATTTGACTCTATGAAAAGGATATCACCACATAGTATAAAACAAAATCGGATTCTCTGACCCCATATCCCATGTAAGTATGTACGCTTAAATCTTAAAAACTAGGCAACGGATTTTGATGTGGTTTTTATCTATACTAATATTATAAAGAGGAAAAATTTGTATGTTTGTAAGTTTGTATGTAGGGGGTAATCTTTGGAACCGATGGTCGGATTGCCATAATTCTTTCACTTATAGATAGCTACAATGTTCCTGGGTGCTATAGGCTAAAAAATTACGCTATGATTAAAAGGAGCCAAGCAGCATAGAATAGTTGAAGAGGAAGTTTTATATGTATAAATAATGGAGAAATTTAGGACCACCATTGCACCAGTGCGAAATCGGGGCGGGTCGTTAGTAATTAAATAAAAAGTGAAGTCGTGAAGTCGCATATCGCATTTAACATTACATAAACCCATATATGAATCACCTACATTTGTTTTGGTAATAAAACTGTAGTTTTAAAGTCACAGTGGAAATATTTTACTACTACACGTATGAGTTACTAATTCGCGAATTAGTCTAGTCATAATCAGTTTATCACCTAAATATGTGTGCAGATCACATCTATTTTTATAGAAACCTCAACGCTAGTACGTCACAGTAGGTATAGATGAAGTTTTCCTCGTCTGAAAAGTTATGTGACACTTAAAATATGTTTTGAAAACCACGTGTCATAACATTGTATAAGAAATGTGATTTTAAAACTGAATCATATCAATAGATCATTAAGACCTAGCAAACTTATGAGACCATGCAGATTCACAGCGTAGAGTAAAACAATGTAGCTTTCTCTGTCCCTATATGTATGTATGCTTAAATCTTTAAAACTACGCAACGGATTTTGATGCAGTTATTTATCTATACTAATATTATAAAGAGGTAAAATTCGTAAGTTTGTATGTTTGTATGTAGGGGGGTAATCTTTGGAACAGCTGGTCGGATTGCCAAAATTCTTTCACTTATGCTACAATGTTCCTGATTGCTATAGGCTATTTAAAACATCACGCTAGGATTAAATGGAGCCGAGAAGCGGGTGAAACCGCGCGAGAGTAGCTTAACTATATAGAGTGATTGAAGATGAAGGTTTATGAAAATAACATCAACTAAACAGTGGACCAATTGAGTTAGCATTACACTCTTGCAAAGAGAGATTGGATCGCTAGTGTACCATAACTTAATATCAGAAGATTGCAAAAGAAAACATTGCCTAGTTTTTTTTTTGAGAAACAAAGTCTGTTATTAAACCTTTTCGTGATAGAGGTGTTGTTATCTCAATAATAACGTTGTTACTTAACTTATAAACAGTTATAACTAGCGGGTAACGTAATACTTGTACTGCAGAAAATGACAGCTCGTTTATGATCTGACGATTACCACACACAGTGGGATTGAAGATGGCTGGCGGGTCAAGGCATAGCATTAGATAGATGATCGAGATTTAAGTATTTGAGAAATCGTAGAGATATCGTCACCTGAGGATAGATGACTAATGACGCTTATTTTAAAACTGCAATAATGGTGGTGATAACTATGCTTAGATATTGAGGTGCAAACAAGTTACTGGAAATTTTGAAATACTCTCAATTATTTTCAACAGAATCTACAGTTCTGGGAGCCATTCACAGATATGTATATATTTTTGAGGAGGGAAAATCATCTAATGACTTTTCTCACGATGGGTATGACGAGAGAGTGTCTTACTGACTAAAAATCCCCCTGTTCCTTTTCCTGCTAAGGCCAGTACCTTATAGTGCTTGACCCGTGACGTCGCTTACAGATACGTATCCCAATACTTAATCATTAATAAAAAGAAATAGATCTTGCCTCGAGCACTAAGCATAAGAGATTTACCTCTGATTTCACGAATAATGAAACAAAACAACACATCCCCCTTATTACAAAACAAGATTTACCTTTAGTCTGGGATTCAACCACCAGCTTTTGCATTTTGAATCTTATTCTTACTTACCTTCAATTCGAAATACAAAAACTGGCTCAATGGTTGAAATCTAGACTAAAAAAACTTTGCTTATGTATGATGCATATGGCCGTACTTATGTGTATTATTGTTTCATGCAGCGTTAAGGGTAGGGCTCCTAACTTTTTCTTAGAAGAAAATTGAAAAGAAAACTCACATTAGCGGTACTATCCAGTTTGGAATACTCTTGTTGTCGTTTGCGCGCGCGCACGGCTTGTCTGAGCGAGCTGCTTGTGTCGCGGCCGCACCATCCTCCCACCCTCTCGCCAACCACTTCTAGCATATCGGCAACACGACTGTGGACAAATAAAACAATAACTATATAAGTGAAATTCCGTAAAAAGTACGTACTTCTGGAATCTGGAAGTCTTTTTTTACTAATTATAGGCCATCGAGTGATGACAAGACCAGCACTGCACGCTTGCCTATAATATGCAACCTACCCACTCGGGCCTTGAAGACATTAGTTACTAGAAGTTCAGCAGCGGGCGTCTTGCAAATGCCATGATAATGAAGATGATAGAAAGTGAAATCTTTCCATCAGAGCTATCATAGCTCCAAAGCTAAGCGCATAATAGGTTTGGCGTCCGCAGTTTAGGATCACAAAACACAGAACTTGTTCGTCGTTCGTAGTAGTTCTTGGTAGTATAACAGTTGAAATTGATAACCGATATTAACCAATTAAGATTTTAATAGACAAACAATATAGATTTATATCCAAAATCTTATTAATGTTGGCTGTAAATGACATAAGACTTATAACTCTGGTTAAACCGACTCATATTGGTGGCGAAGCTTTGCTCTCTACATTGTAAATTACTCCACAAAATTGTCGTGGTGGCCCGGAGGTTAAGAAGCCCGCTTCTCATGCTAGAGGGTGTGGGTTCGAAACCTAGCAAGTACCAATGTGACTTTTTCCAAGTTATATCTACTTTCTATGATTATTTAGACACCACTGACATACGGTGAAGGTAAACATCGTGAGGAAACCTGGACATATAATTTCTAATTATAAGTTTGAAATCGACAACCCGCATTGAGCAAGAGTGGTGATTAATGCTCTAACCTTCTCCCTATGAGAAGAGGCCTTTGCTCAGCAGTGGGCATTTATAGGCTGATGATGTAAACGACATAAGACTTATAACTCCGGTCGAGCCGACCCATTCGTGCCGAAGCTTTGCTGTCTACATTGTAAATTACTCCAAGTCTCTAGTTCTATCTGTTCTAAGTCAATAACCGCTATCTACACGTTGACGTAACCGCACGATAGATTATCGATAATTCGTATAAAAAAATAATGATTTAACTAATAATAATGTGCTATGACCGATCATATAGCACAATATCCTAATTTTATCATTAAATTTCAGATTTGCAATAAATTTCGCACGTGATTTGAGTGATAACAGTTTTTCTGATAACATTGTAAGCTTGTTATTTGATATGCAATTGATATTTTATTCGAAATGTATTTTTTGTTGGTAAGTATAAGTGACGTGGTCGAGGATGACTAGGATTACGTCACGTTGTAATTTTGTAGTCTGCAAATATAATCAAATATTTTTTTTGATACTGAGACATACTTTTATTGAAAACCGTACAATGTTATCGGTTTAGACTGAGAGACATGTAAGGCGATTTAATTTTATAATATTAAATGATAAAGAACCAATAATACTATCAAAGACGTATATTAGGTATGTACCATATTAACAAGTTATCACTACTGATCATAATCAAAAAATCTCCTTAAAAATATTCACACATAAGTTCACAGCTAAAATATCAAATAAAAAGTTAATTCTAGAATAATATCAGAACAACCATTTCATAAAAACTTAATAAGGATATCCTTTCACACGCAATACGAGTTAGTTTCTACAAAAGCATGGATCTAAAACAAAAATGGCTTCTTTATTACTGGCAGTTGAGACATGAATAGCAGACGAATACCAAAGAAAAGACTAGACTATTATTTAATTCTTGACTTTTGAAATCGTAAAACATACAAGAAACTACGTGTATTTAAATACACAATACAAAGAATAGTTCAAACGCTAGCACACCGGTGTTTACGTCCGGTGAAAAAGCCCTGTCTGTTTTTGCTCACAGAAGTAGACTTTTGGCAGTATTTTGACTACGAAAACTGTATTTTTTTATTGTTTGAAGGTAAACATTCGGCGTGGTCATTTTACCACTAAAGTAACAAATGGATTACCGGCCTTGTGGGAAAAGGAAAATCAGGGATTTGATACATTTTCAATTTGGAATGATGATAAAGAAATCTATTTAGTTCAATGAAAAGTTATGAAAAACAAACATGACATAGAGAATATTACTGACTTTTTTTAGTAGATTTTAGTGTTGTTATTGAAAAATGTACACAAACAGATTGTATTAAGTAATTTCTTTAAATACGATTAGGTAAGGATTAGTATTACACAATGCACGAAACCTTACCATAGTTTCTTGAAGTGACACTTCGAAAAACAATAACAGAACAAAATGCCTAATAAATAAGGATCACAGGTAACGTTATCAGGTACATAATCTAGAACTTATAATACACATAATTATGTATTCAAGAATGGATTAACATTAACTATTCATAAGCTCCCTCAAACCTAACAACATACAGACATCTAAATATAGAACAAATAATATGTATTATAATTATTCTAGAAGCATTGTCAATTTTAATACGTCGACAATACCATACTTGTAAAGGTATTAAAAGAAAGTAATTAAAATCTTGTAGATCAGTAAAAATGTAGCCTCAATCTAGAATTTCCTTCTGTGTCGTGGGTGCGTTGAAAAGTGCACAATTTCACATACGAAACAGTGTGACACTGTTTCTTACTAAGTGCGTAAAATGAACCCGCGACGCGTTCTTCAGCAGTTTGTTGTCCAGCCACTGCGTCAACCACCGTTTGTATTTAATTTGACTGCGTGCAGTAAGAAATAACAACACTAGATAGATAGTGTTCTTACTAAAATAATTTTAACTTAGATTCAGACAACTAGGTATGGACCTCTCTCCTTGTATGTCATATTGTTCGGCTTTATCCATCACTTATCCAACTGTTTTCAGGTTCTGGATTCTAACGATAATATACCCCCTTCCCCAATCCTACTTAGGTACTTTAAAATTTTACGATTACTATTCGTGATTTTTTTGCACTACCAGGCTGTTGTCCCTTAAAAATATTTCACGGTGGCATTGTGTTAATTAACATTCCACTTAAGTATATCTTAATTTTCTTTGTGATTAAGATTGAATTTATCGTATCTTTTAAGAGCAATGCAAAAATATTGCAACATATCAAAATGCAGACTTAAACAAAATCCCAAGATTAAATGTGTTGCGTCATAATTAATTGATTGCAAAAATAATCGATAAAGGCGAGCAATTTTCGTATTACAAAAATTCTGTATCTAGCGTGACAAACAAATCTGATCTGAAATTATATTCGATTACAATATCACAATCTACTTAGATTCCGCTTATGACTTGGTCAAAGTTGAAGTTAGGAGACTGCTTTCAAGTAAGCTCCGATTATATATATGAAACTGCCTGCCTACATAAGTAGTGTTTTTGCCAAAAACTTAAAAACTAAATAGCTTTTTTATACGTGATAAGACGGCAAAGAAGCAGGACGCAAGTTACCTGGCGAATAATTATGATGCTGTCGCGTGCAGAATGTTAGCATAAGACAGTGACAGCAACAATTTTATCCCTCAACAACATTTATCTGACTATTGAAAAATCAGACCTAAATCAAATAAAATATTTTCTAAATAGCGTTGTTAATTTCAGTGTTCGCCTCTTTGTTTATAAAAAAAATCTTTGTATGTTTATAAACAAACTTAGAAGTATTTAAGGTCATTAACTTTAAACATAATTTATCAGTATAGGCAGATATTTGTCAAAATATTAGGTATATGGACTTTATCATGTAGTCAAGCAATTACAATCTTAGACATACATATATATATAGGATTTTTTTTTACTTGCAATAAACTAGTGCTTGACTGCGATCCCACCTGATGGTAAGCAGTGATTCAATCGTTGATGGTAAGGCGCACTAGTTCTAGAAGATAGGCTGTTGCAGTAACAAATTAGTGTCTTTTAGTAAATCAATTAACAGAGTTTCTTGTTAATCAATGTATCAAATATTGGATAGACTTGAATTGTATCATATACCTAATAGACTACGAGGGTTGAGAGGTCAACTGCAGCAATGTGCCGCAACCCCAACCTGAGGAACGGGATGATTTTTAGTCAGTAAGAGTCTGACATTCCCTCTCACCCCATTCAGGGTAAGAGAGGAAGTTTGACAACAATCATATAAGGCACTAGCTTGTCTCGTGCGATCTCACTCGCTGCTCGGTTCCTACAGATCGTAGTGTGATGTTTAATAGCCTTTTTCGATAATTGAACTAACGAACACAAAAAGAATTGTTCTATTCGAACCAGCAGTTTCGGAGATTATCGCGTTCAAACAAACGAACAAACTCTAAAGCTTTATATAATATTAATATATAACTAGCTTTTGTCCGTACGCGTGGAAAAGTGAATTCCTGTTGATTTTTGATATAAAAGCTATCCTATATCCTTTGTCGAATTCCAAATTCGGCATTTATAATAGATATGACACTATCGAGTTTTTGTTTCTCGTGAAAGCAATCGCATAAATAGGCAATTAGTGCCAATACAATGAGAAAGTAGTCTAAATACAATTTACCACTTTTCACAATGTCTAGATTAAATAAATTGTTTAGCTAGCATTAAACTCAGTAATCGGTATGAACGATCGTGGGTACGAGAGAGAGTTGACTCGCTTTCAATTAAATCACAATTATTACCAGTTTATAGAAAAACTTGTGTTGCATTGAAACTTTTATGTTATGATCTTATAAGCTAAGGATCAAATACTTTTATGAGATACTGGATACTGTCGCGCGGTTCCAACCACTGCTCGGTTCCTATTGGTCGTAGGGGTATAGCAGGGATGTTTTACAGACTATAGAACATTGTAGCTATCTATCAGTGAAGAATTTTGGAAATACGATCAGCGGTTCCAAAGTTTACCCCTTACATAAAAACTTACAGATTTTAGCTCATAATATTATTAGTATAAAAATATAGCTAAATTGAGATTTACAAAGAAACAGAAAATATTGTTCCTTTAAACGATCAGATTTTGACCGAAACGCGTCTTGAAACCGCGTTAAAATTACAATAATTATGTACTAATAAAACCATAAAATAACATTGTACCAATTAACCAACAATAAAACAATAGTTTATGCTACTCTAATACTAGTAAATTAGGTCGTAGTTTCTAATTTCAACGCTCGATTCATAACACGATACAACCGCTAAAGAATACTTTACAATAAATTAATATTATACATAAGTAAAATAATATTATGATTACTTTATTCTTGACTATACCTCCTACCATTAATATTGGAATAATTTCACATTTTACAACATATATATATAATAAAGAGACATAGAAACCCCATAATGCGTGCGATCATAGAGAACTGAAAGCATTATGCAGTAGGTATAAAATCACTACAACTAGCGGTATCGTTTTACTGTTATGAAATAATGAAACAATAATATAATTGTTCCGAGGTATTTGCAATGGTTGAATGTATGGTACAGTACAGACCTGGAGGTGAAGAACCAGTAGAGGATGGCGGTGAAGATGGCGAGCTCGGCGGCGCCGCTGGCCACACGCACATGCTCCACCATCGTCCACACGCTAATCATCGTATCCATCTCGCTGCTGTTGTGCACCGAAACTACATCACCGACCGTCCAGTTCCACAACGCACTGACTTCCACTATTTTCGACGTAATCTTCACTGATTTTATTAGCCAATAAATAAATTTTCACTAGAGTCTCGCAAGTTTACGCAACTTAATCTTCGTCGAGATTCTAAAAAAATACAAATTGTCGATTTCAATTTCTTTGCCAAAGGAGGTAAGACGTCTTACCTCCTCGAAAGTCGGAGTCGTATTGACAGAGTCGTTGTGCAGATGTCACAATGTGCACTCCGGTGACCTATGCCCGTTGAATCGCCCGAAGCGTTTGCACTAACGTGATAGATATCGGAGGCAATAGTTCTCCATGCGATACAGATACGAAAACAGTAATTAATAACGACCTAATTGCTTAGTGATAAACTGCTGAACTGTGAACGAGCGAAGTAAACGCGTGAAGGAGATCACGATTGATATGGATGACAAAATTCGCACTGGCAACCAGTAGGGAGCGAGTACTTAAAGGACAATGAGGGGGATCAACGAGAGGTGGGGATTGAACATATTACAGTGATACAACACTTACGTGAACATAAATAATGTACAATCATCCGCATTAAGTGTATATCAACATGCCAATTTGGATGATAAAAAAGTATCACTGATTAAACGTTAATTACTGACAGAAAAAATGTAATATCATTGCCGAATAACATGTGAGGAGGCGTGTCCCATACAGAATAAATTAATCGATGAAAAAGTAAATCAAACAAACTCTTCTCAAGAAGACATGTGAATTCGGGCGTGGTAGATAATGTACATCGAATGCTCGTTATGTGATGCGTGATAATGTTTAATCAAGTGTCAAATAGTCAATAAATAATTAAACAAACAAGTTGAAAGAGTTCAAGAGCACAATATTAACCAGAAAGTAGACCTGAAAATATTTACTGCTCAAATTCTAGAGAAGGTTAGGCGAGAATTCGTATTAGAATTTGGACATGTTATTGGATTCGATTTGCAACTAAACTTGGATTAGTAATGCGAAGTATTTTAGGACATGACAACTTATGAAGCAGTACGGCATTAATTAATGCCGATTCAAACAGTTCTCTTTACATAAATCTATTTTCTTTCATTAAAATATGTAACACGTGATGAATAAATCGTACGATGATAATATTATTTTTAAAACTGGTTTTTTGAGCCATTTGTGTACTTTTGGAGGTCTCGAATCAATTACTGTGTTGAACTTTAATCTTTGCTTACATACTGTTGCCATGTTTGCGAGAAATTGACATTTCAAGGAGTTTTTAGCCTTATCTTGCCCCGAATAAGGTGCAAATTTCCTACAGTCGTTCTTTAAGTTTCACCCAAAACATGTATCATATATTAACTTAGGATTGAAGTGTAAATTGTACTAACAGACGAAAGCATAACATTAACTGCCCACTCGATGTTACCACAACAGAATGAATCAGTTCAGTCATTGTACGCAAATTACGATTTGTATAGATCGGCTACTGAATTGATGCAATCATGTTTTATGGGTCAAATTGGATTTCCTTTTAAGACATTCATCAGCAATAAAACAAATTACAACTATGATAAAGAAATCTTTAAATTCGGATTACAAGAATAGTACTATGCCCATTATTTTGAGTTACATGACAAAACAAGGTCGAGACAAGACTGTATTTTGTTATCAATACAGGTATAGCATTAACAACAAAGGCAAAAAATCGTTTCGAGAAAGATAAGCTATCTGGTAATCAAAGAAAGAACGCACATGGTGGTTTGCCACGCATCGGCAGAGGAAAATGATTCCCGCAACCGCACATGACTAGAATGAAGATGATCATGCAAGGGCAAATGAAGATTAAATCTTTGAATCTGATTAAAACATTGTCTAAATGCGATACGTGTTAGAGGCCCGCGCATAAACTTCAATTTAAAACGATAAGAATGTCGAAGGGATTACAAATATAAAACCTTTTATGGTTTCAGAAAGACTTTTGTACAACGTTTTCGTTTATATTTGAAGGTCAAGTCAAAAAGAAAACTGCATAGGCATGTGTACAATGGACATTACATCTGCTTCAATCAAAAAAGTGGTCCTTCAGCAATCCAGTTGGTATATTATTTATTCGTTTTCACATTAGCAACAACGACATATAAGTCACTCACATCTTGCACGGAATTTTAAACAGTTGACACACAATCATCGCTTGCTAGTATATTAATTATTATATTAACAATGCCATCGTCTCCTTCATTATATTTATCTTTAACATAATATATAGCTTTATTGGCAATAAAATTCTGAATTTTATTGTTTATGTAAGTACCTACTCGTACATATATTTCGTTGAAATTTAACAAGGCACGCGCATCGACGCTTCCGAATTATGCATAAATAATTATTCATTAGGAAAGCGAAAATATAAAGTAATTAGTTGCAGTAATTGATAATGAATAGGATTTGTAAACCATAGAGGTCACCAAACAAATTCAGGACAGAGAGAAAACTGATAATTTTAATCAAAATAATAAGAAAGGAGAGGGAAATGATCACTTTAAATTCAAATACCAGCAATGATAATTGGCTTGCTGCATTACCCACTTTAAAACCATCAATTAACAGCCCTATTCCCTGCGATAGAGAAAGGGGCAGTACAAGAAATAATTATTTCATACTTCACTTAACAAAGCGTATAGACGATATAGCCGCTCGAATTATATGCATCTTTATGAATGAGGTAAAACGAAGCAATCAGGTCGAAACTAATGTATGACTATCATGCGGTCTGGTTACTATTATCATTCAGTTCTCAAATAACCATTTCCAGCAAGCATTGGATAAGTAGCTCGGTAACAATATCGTTTACAATACCGACTAGCTGACTGAAGGGGTGTCATTTAACAATTCCAAATAACGACTCCAACGCCGGCACAGAAAGTGAAATCGACATGCAAGCATGAATGCTTGCGAATACTAGCGTTGTGAAAAAATGCACAGGTTGTTTTCTATGTAAAATTACTTTTTAATACTTTACCGAACAATTTTCCTCGAAACAACAAACGTTACGCTTGGAATGTGAAAAGATTTTGAAATAATTTGATTTTTTCTGGCACTTGTCCGGTTTGTGTAAAGTTAGAACGATGCGAATTTTTATGTAACACAATCGTGATCGAACGTTGCGAGGTTCGCGGGCGCGATGCGTGTGATCATGTGCACGGACGACACGGTACTGCCACTGGGGCCGGCTGAGACGCGGCATGCGTACGTCACAGACACGCAACCGTTCTATTACAGTAGCAACAGCGATAGAGTTAAGGCGCAAAAGAAATGGGAGCTCTTGGCTTAACCCTGTCAATATTCTTGAGTAGACAAAGAAGTAAAATTCTGCACTAGGTATTACTTATGAGTGTCCTTTTATTCACATACTGACATCACACAAATAAAACATTTAGGGGTACGAACCACAATTTTTCTGAAAGAAAAAACAATTAAGCAGACGAATAATGATATATATACAGCATTTATGAGAATTATTGACAGCTAATTTGTGTCACACTCACACCATAGAGATGTAAAAAGGAGACAAATCAAGTAGTTTTTATTACAGACCATTAAGAACCTCAAAATAAAAGTACAAATAGAATATTGACATCACCTTCGAACAAGACAAGCTTAGAATAATAACGCAGACAAGCTTGAAATATTTACAACTGTTTGAAGAGAAAAAACTGGAACATTGTGAACTTTGAGACTAACACTTAACCATTAGATTTAGTCAAAACAAACATCATACGATTGGCAAAAAATTTGCCATTTTGATAACTAATCGAATGGCGATGTTAGACATATCACCAATACTATATTGAAGGTGTAAAATGATTTTTATCGTACAAGCGTACCGGAACAGTTTACTAGAGTATTAGTTACGGGCATACTTATGGTGACCAAAATTAATCGTTTAGTTTGCTGCTAACTCGACAACGACTGGACCAATTCAGCAAGCAGATATTATATACCCAATTCTTGGCATAAAAAGTAAAATTTAATTGAAATTTCTTTATTTCAGATCCATAATAGTCTAGAAATATGATGGTATCGCTTCAGAATGTTTGTATAAGAAAGTGACAGCAACAATTTTATTCCTCAGATAAAATTTATCTGACTATTGAAAAATCAGTCCTAAATATTATAACTTTAGTTGTTTACGATCATTACGTTTAGTAGTCGCATTGGGAACAACGAGATTAACAATCAATTTTAATACAACGACGTAGGTCAGACAATAAAATAAAAATTAGGCTTAAATCAATCTAAGTAATTTACTAAATGCGTAATGAATTAGGATATCAAAACAAACATTTATGCGTCTAATAGTTATCAGTATATTGAGTTATGCGCATTAAATATTGAAAAACAATTAAAAACAAATATATTTTACAGAAGTTAGATACGACGTAATAATGACAATATTAATAACATAATATTAGACAAGATATAAAAACATTCAGGTGTGGGAGAGCCATACTTCGGAACGGATGCGCTAGTCCTATTGGAGTGATACGACGGTCTAAAAGTAACCGGCTCAAAAAGCCAATAGACCACCACAGATGGGGCCCAATAGGGTCGATGTTCAGCCGGGGTTTGGGGGTCTAGGGCAACCAGGTACAGCGACCTTGGCCTGGAGCAGTAGAAGGAACATGGGGTAGAGGGGGCTGTTCCTCCTGGTTTAGTCAATGAGACACTCCCTCTCACTTTTATCTAGGCTAAGAGAAGCCAGCTGTTGTTGATTTCCCCCTCACAAAAACGTCCCAATTCTAGAGTCCATACTCACACTGATCAGAAGAAATATCAGGCCACAGGACATTTCAATTTTTTTTTTAATCTTACTAAGTACCAATACCTTTAAAGCATTCTAATAGAAGCATCGTGGGGTCACGTTGGGAATAACAAAATAGATTTAGGAGAAGGGCTATTACACCTAAATATTTGTTTACAATTTATAATCTTATCTTACACAGGAAACCCCATTAATTTCCAAGATAGAATTTATTTTGTCCGCGTAAACACAAAACATAAACTACATAATAATCTACTTGAAAAAATCCATCGGATTACTTCATACTAAATCCATCTTTGCTATAAAAAGATTACTATATGATTTATCAATGATTAGCATAAGCGATTTTAACAAAGAGAAAATAACATTTTTATAATCACTTGAGACGTGTAATTTATTAGGACAACGATGATAATTTGAAAGGTGAAAAAATAATAAACCGAGGAAGTGGGTACTTTCGTTATCAATCAATATTTTATAATTTTTTCAATTTTTATTCAAGAATGGTTGGCGTATTGGCTTAAAGACCGGTTGTAATATCAATTGTTGCTGTTACGACAGCAAACTTATCACCATTATATATCATCAAAAAGAATTGTTTTGGGTGTTAATAATATATGTATAGTCCTTATCTGAACACCAATTACAGAGGTAAGATTAATAGAATCTAGGATATAAATATAAAATCAGATGAATGAGAGAGATTGATAATTAAAAAACCCCATTGAAAATTGTATTATTAGACGATTCATACCAGTATGCGCCTTTAAGAGCCATCAGACCGCCACAGACCCTACGGGGCTGTTCTTCAGCCAGGGTTGCGGGGCAAGCGCAATAAAGAGCCTCGGCCTAGAGCAGGACAAGGAACGAGGTGTTTTAAGTCAGTAAGAGTCTGACACTCCCTCTCGCCTCACCAAGGGCGGGAGCAGCTCGCCGCCCGACCAGAACCAGGCCCGAGCGTACGGCGCGTAGCGTTCCGCGCGCGCCTCAAAGAGCCAATAGACCACCACAGACGGGGCCCTAAAGGGCTGATGTTCAGCCGCGGTTGCGGGGTAAGCGCAATGAGGCACCGCGACCTCGGCACAGAGCAGGAGAAGGAACAGGGGGGTTTTTAGTCAGTAAGAGTCTGACACTCCCTCCCGCCCGGCCCTGGGCGGGAGAAGTCATTTGATGATTTTCCCCTCACAAAAAAGGGCGGTAGAATATTAAATGAAAATTGATAAAAAAAAAATGAAAAAATTGAATCCAAAAAACAATACAACTCACGTTTCGGAAGCCAGTGACAAAGAAAATCAATGTCAACGTACTTTGAAAGGAAAAGTCATATTATTATCTTTGTCTCGTCGTTAACAAAGGTACAAAGAAAAACAAGCTTGCTGTGTAAATAATACACACATATGACAATATAAAGTTGATGTTACTTCTGTATTTACAAAAGTAACCCTTTTCGGTGTATGACTCAGATCAAGAGTTGAACTTTATATACCTTTATCATTATTGTGGGCATACTAACTGTCAAGGACGTAGTATTTGTATTGAAGCTATGAATAAACAAAGCTCGCAGCTATGGCCCGATCTCTGCAATGAGGCACCGCGGCCTCGGCCCAGAGCAGGAGAAGGTACGGGGGGGAGGGGGGTTAGTCAGTAAGAGTCTGACACTCTCTCTCACTTAACCCTGGGCGGGAGAAGTCATTTGATGATTTTCCCCTGACAAAAAAAAGCAAAGGCCCGATCTGAACCAGACCCTTACGCACGATGCATCGCGTTCCGTGAGCGACTAGGCCGGTGGTCTAGTCCGATGCCTGTCCAAGGCAAGAGGTTGCCGCTACCGACTTGGGGGGAGGGGAAGGGACAGGTAGTTTTTAGTTCCAAAAAATCTGACACTCCACTTCACCCAGGACGAGCAAAACTATTTCTCCGCAAAAAACAATTTTGAACAATAATGAAAAAGACAAAAACATCTGAGCTGATGAATAAACTGATTGTCGGCATTAATGACCCCGACAGTTTCGACGATGAAGTAGCCCATAATAATTACAGCGTTTCATGTTAATCTACTAACTACTACTAAAAGCACAAAGACCGTAAAAGTAAATAATGATGATGCAGCAAGCTGAGGTATAATAAAACGCTCTTGTAACGGGTTTGATACAAATAAAGGCGTACCAATGGCTGATGTTACCAAGTTTAGTATCAATCTTGCAATACAGGATTGGCTAAATTTGATAGACGCAAGTAGTAATCAATCCTATTTAAAACACGGAACTATTCACCATGAAGCTCGCTCATAGAGTCAGCTCACACAATCACACTTCATACTTCAATTGTTTAAGTATGGGAGAGCCGCGTTCCAGCTACGCTCGACCACGGCGTAGCCCAAAACCAGATTGAAACCACGTTGGCCTTTTGAAAATAAAAATTCACTGTGTGAGTGAGGTTACTGAAGGCTCAATTCTTCTTCTATCCCTTCCCTTCTCGTTTTCTTCCCTTTAGGCCCTATTTGCTTACCAACAGTTGATCAGTGCTTCATTTAAAACCAAACAAAACTATTTTTGACAAGGAAAAATATTAACATTTATTCATTATTGATTTTGGACAAATCTTTTTTAATCTTATATGCTCGAGTCATCCAGACTCTGTTATGTAATATTTAAAGAACCTTTCGTACGTCTCGTCAAAGTTTAATACAGACGGTTCATCCGTGTACTCCGTGTGGACCTGTTGATTGATTGATTGTCACTATTCATAGCGACACAATGGGTCAATGGAATAGAATTACGGATTAACTGTCGACGAGTATTCACTATTATGGTCAATATAGGTCGGTGATGGTCATTAATTAATTATGGTATGATGAGGGTTGATTATAATGTATTTGTTACCAGCCTTGCTCTTAGGTGTTGTTGGATTCTGGCGTTTTCTGATAAAACTTCAGGATTAAACTGGCATCACCAAGTGTAGCGATTATGGAATACTCCCTTTGGATAAGACACATAGGCTATTAGACTCTCAAGGGCTAAGAATTTCCTCGCTCCACCAGCTTAGTAGTGAAGGGCCTAGAGTTGGAACATTTATTATTGTAGACCACCTCTGTACACTACATATACATTAAAGACATTTGATTTAGTTATGGAATTATTTATAACAGTCATCAAGACTATTCAAGTTCAGACATATTTGGATGTGCGATAATACGTCGTAGTATATTTGGAAATATATATTATGTACTTACAATAAATTATATAAGTTAATACGTTATTAAATTCTATTCAAATATATTATTATATATTGCGAATTGAAAATTTCTTTATTACATATTTTATTTTGTTGTTTTGATATACAGTCGAAAATCCGATGGTATAAAATGACATTTGGAATAGGTCAACCTGCGGTTTACAGTACATGTCATACAATGCCTCATACGGTCTTTACAAGGCCACCTTAAACGTACGCCGTCTTATTACAAAAAAATGCTTTAGTACTGGTTTAAACCAAGACTAACTAGTCTTGGACTAAACCAGTACTAAAGTTAGTACTAGGTTTAAAATGTGTTCTTATTACAAAACTAAGACTAATCGAGGATCAGTTAGTACCGAAGAAAGTTCATGGTTTAAATAATATCCACAGATAAAAAAGAAAATGTCACTCTTTCATTCGTTCATAGGTTTTTAATTTGAAGCAACGTTCCGTTTGTTTTAGTATTGATAATAAATTAACCCTAGAAATTCTAAAATAATTATTTATTAATACTAAAATGCATCATAAACTGTTATTTTAATAAGTTGGATTATATATTAAACACGTGCAACTTGTACTTTAAACGCGATGTTTATAAATATGTTGTCGTATTTTTAACACTGCTACCGTGAAATGGAGCGAATTCCAAACGATGACAGCGCGCCTCAATTTGAAACTTAGACGCGAATACAACACATTGCTAACATTTTAAACGCAATTCCATATTTAGTGAGACATGGAACAACAAAAGAGAAAAAGAGGAGAAAACTGGAGTTGTGACGAAAAAGTTAGTAAAATAATATCTGTATGTACCTACATAAGTTAGTAATATTACTTGATTACCTTAAACCAATGTTCTTATTATTATAGGAGATCTTACGTCAATTGATTGCTCAATCAGCACAGATATTAGAAGATAAGTCCACAAAATCTTCGGTGAACTCACAAAAAATAAAAGAGTGGAAGAATATACAGGTTAAGTAAGTGCCTTCTGCTTTAATTTGTTACGTATCGTAAGTACAAGTATGCTATTGTTTCGTCATTATCGTCATTTCAGCCGAAAGACGTGCAATCTGGACATAGACCTCCCCCAAGTCGCCACAATGACCGGTTCTTTGCGTCTACACTAACTAGATTGACCCGATACTACTTACACCGAACTTTCACCCGACTTTTAAAGGCGGGTGTAAGGCCCTTCAAAAGCTTTTTGATTGTCATATTATAAGAGAAAATTCCCGGGCATGGTAGTCATTGTTTAAATGATACTAATTAGTTTATATTTTAATTTCAGGTTTAATGAATTAACTGGTAAATTTCGTTCGGGCGGAGAGCTGAAGTTGGCATGGAAAAGAATGAAGTTGTCCGCTAAATCCAACCTTTCCATGCATAGAAGGGAACAACATTTAACAGGCGGCGGTGAAAAACCGCCATCACCTTCTCCAGAGGACTTAGCCGTTATGGCAATTGCTCCTCACGACTTCGTCATTGAAGTCAATGAATATGATAGTGATGCATTGGTAAATAAAATGTATTATATTGAATAGAAAACATTTAATTAATTTATTGATTAATTAAACACAGTAAACTAAAATGTTAATGTGATATATTCAATCACTAGACTACTAGCTTATCACATGCTCAAATTTCTTCTACAGCTCTTAAAAAGTGTCTCTTTTAAAGCTCTTGTTATATACTTTTTTTGCTTGCTTGACGTTCAAACGTGCCCTGTGGTCTAATTGAAATAAATGATTTTTGTTTTTTTTTTACAAGTAACGTTACAGCACTCAAATTTCAAAAACAGTAGTGAGCGTGAAAACATATGAAGTAAATATATTTTTTAGGATCCAGTTCCCGTGCCTACCATTAATGCGGCTGGGATAGACTCAAAACCCGGTCCTAGTTTTGAAACGGTATCGTTTCATATTGAAACATGCGAAGATAGACCAGAAAAGGATTTTGTCTGTTTGCAAGGTAAACAATTATTGTGTTCAAGAGAATTAAAAGAATTAGCACTTCATCTACGCAAAATTAACAAAACAATAGAATTATGCTATATGTTTATATGGCATAATTTTATATACAACTGTGGGATAATCTTATTTATTCTTATTAATCTTAACGTTATTTTGCTCTTAAAACTAGTGTAATATAATTACAACACAATAATTATCAACCATACTACATTATTGTCGCTTTCCGTCAGTGCGTCAGTGCGTCAAGCGCATCATATTCAAAACCATCATATTGTGTAAAAAACTCATTTTTTTTTATTCATATTTTATTTTCTTAAACTATTCTTTCTACAGATACAAACAACAGTGACGCTTGCGTTGAAGAACAAGCAACAATTAAAAAGAAAAAGAGCTTGCAAAATAGGTATGTACATATGTACCTACTATTTCCTACGCAGACACTGATAAAATTCAGCATGGAAACAAATACCTTGGTAAAAAATGGAGAAACATTTTCTTGGATACTACATTTTCCTTTTTTATACATATTTTTATTACCTGTCAAATTAAAATGACTTTATTATTCTGTTTAATTTTACAGAACTGACGAAATGCGGCAAACAATTGTCGAAAGCAATGCTGCTTTTAAAAAAAGACAATTAGAAATGATGGAAGAAGAACATGCATACAATGTAGAAATCGCCAAATTAAAAATTAAAAAACTAAAGCTAGAGATAGGTTTGTTAGAAAATAAAACAAGATTACAATAAATAATATTTATTCGAAATGAGTTTCAATAAACTGCCTTCTCCTAATATTTCCCCTAACAGAAGATGGAAAATATCCTTGTTGAACTGTTTCACTAGGTGCAAATTGAATTGATGGCTCTATATTATCTTCCTCGCCCGGAAATAGGTCTTCTCTCATATCAATTGCAATATTGTGGAGGACAGCACATGCAACAATTGTTTTTTTTGCTGTTTCAATATCCCCAAACATGCCTCGCAAAAGGCAACGAAATCGTTGCTTCAGCAAACCAAAACACCTTTCCACTGTGTTTCGGGTACGGATATGGCTGCGGTTGTACCTCTCTTCTTGTGGTGTTGTGGGATTGAGCAATGGTGTAAATAAATATGGAGTGCAAGGATAGCCACTGTCGCCCAATAATATTCCAGAGAATGCGCCAGCCTCAAACCTCTGTTTTAAGCGACATTCTCTGAATATCCTGGAGTCATGTACACTGCCACGCCATCTTGTTACTATGTCCATGATTTTCAGGTCAGCATCACAAACCACCTGAAAAGTGAAAGCTGATAATAACTTCACATTCCTCTGTTATTTTAATATGACATTGTAATATTTAGTGAAGCAGTTTGGGATCTAACTATTTACAATTTAATGAGACAGATAAAATTACCTGTACATTGATTGAAGAAAAGCCTTTTCGATTAATGTACAACTGACCCCCATCAGCATTGATTTTCTTCACTCTTATATGAGTATAGTCTATTGCTCCAATCACTGTAGGAAAATTAGCAATACTACGAAATTTTCTCATAGTTTGCTGTTGTGCATCGAGACTGCTAGGCATTTTGATGAATCGTCTAGACATCATTGCCAAACTGTGCGCTACCATTTTGCAAGATTTGCTGACAACTGGTTGAGATACACCATGTAAATCAGCTGTATCGTCTTGAATCTGTGAACAAATTAAAAATATTAAGATTTTATTTTTATCTCGGAGGTCAAAGTAAAAGTAAAGATGAATAGACTGTGTAAAAAGTCATATGAAAGAAAAGGGAGTCAGTGATAGGTAACGGCAGAAAAGATAAAAATAAACAAAAATACATGTCGCGCGCGCCGACTCCAAGTAAAATGGGAATGAATGGGCAGGAAGATGATGATTAAGATATTATATGGATTTTATCTAATGTTTTGTAAGTAATTACCAAGATGACTACTTACTTCATGCCGAGCCCAGTTGCGTAATGCGCAAACCACTTGCAATTCAGGACTCAATGGGCATCCTCGGGGGTCGTGACATAAATCTTCACGTAAAATATCCACTATTTTTGCTCCAAAACGTTTTGTAAACCTATACTTGTATTTAAAATCTTCTTCACTCGATTCAAATGGATTCCTACGATAACGGCGTCTGTTAGATCGCCGAGACGTCTCCAACATATCCAAATCTTCCAAATCCATCAAGTCAATCATATCAATATCCATTTTAAATATTTTTATAAGAAAGTAATGACACCGCAATTGACACAAAAGATAACCTCAAATATAAATTAGTACCGAAGTTAGTCCATACTTAAACTAGGGGCATCGGCGGACTAACTTTAGTACCATAGATAGTTCAGGTACTAGTGTTAAACCTAGTTTTATAATAACGATTTATTTAGTCATGGTTTAAACCTAGTACTAATCCTAGTACTAAATTTAGTCCGCGTTTTGGAATAAGACGGACGATGTTTAACCTTTGTTTGCATTGTAAAGACGGTAAGTTCATCAAGATTTTAACTTAAACACAAGAAGACAAAGTTCAGAATGTATTGCAGAAATTGGACACTTTAGGGTAGCTTGATGTGCTGGCGTCTGATCAATGACTGTTAAGATTGCCTTTTGTTGTAAGAAGAGACAATACTTTTAGGTAATAAAAAAGAGTATGCAAGAACATTGGAAAATAAGCTATAGTACTTACCCTCTTAAACACGTAAAAAATACATTGACCTATTTTAAGAGTCGAGTGTCACCACAGAAACCTAATGGGAACAAAAGGATTTGTGAATTGATAAATTATCGCAGATACGGATATAGAGGTGCGTTAAGACGGCACAGGGAAGCATAGAATGACAAAAAGGAGATTTTGATATGTTGGTTCATCTGTTCTTTTAAGTTCTTAGTTCTCTTCAAAGTAATTTGATATACCGAGGCCCGATTCGAAGCAGAAGGCACATGGTGGTTTTTAGTCAGTTAAAACTCTGACATTCCCTAACCAGCTAAAGCGAGAGAAGTAATGGCAATGATATTATATATTAACAGACATGTTATAAGCGTGCAAAAGTGAAGACTCAAAAAGGATACAATTGTATGCAAGTGCAATTAGTCTCTCTTAGAATAATGTTTGTTTGCGTTGAGTATGTAATTGATAACAATAGCTATTTAGTTTTTCTTGTTAGATTTATCATACTATCTTTTAACACAATTTTAACTTGTAGTAATATGTACAATTAATAAAAAGGTATGTGAGTGTGCTGACGCTTGGCGCGGAACACATTTTTCGTGCGTTTTGTGAGCGTATGACATATGTATCTGTGTTAATATAATATCATTGAGTGATGGGAAGATTTTCGCCCTAACAACAAGGAACTATTAATTGAAGTGACCCAATTCTTCAAAAGAGAACCACTTGACTGAACTCTTGAACGTTCAAAAACATCAGTATTAAAGTGTAACTACATAAAATACGGACAGAAACAAACAATGTGAAGAGAGAACTAAATACAATTGAACTCGTTCGTGCACCTTTATCAGTGGACTTTGCATCCGTCCGACAACGATTCCACCTTACGGACGAGTGGTGGAATATTTTCACGATTTCCAATATGTATATACAATAAAATGTTTTAACAAAAATAAAAAGGACAAGGATTTTTCTGCGTTTTTACAATTTTTAAACAATTTGCTGTCTGCTTTGTTCTGACATATATGCACAATATTGTATTAAAAATCTATTGGTGTAATTGTAAAACTTCTTTATTAAAAAAGTAAAGATGGATTTGCTTGCTCGTTCTTCTTCATTCGAATCTACACTTTGGGACAGGCATCTAGCTTCAACGAGACGAGAACGAGAGATCGAGACAAGACTTACGGACTTTTATTCTATGTTTTTACTTTTGGAATTAATGGACCAATTTTAGGAGCAAACGGGTCTACGATACTTTGGTCCTTAGTACCCTTATTAATAGTAACACGTTTAATTTCATGGAAATCCAGAAAGAATATACCAGATTATTGCTTTTAAATAGGAACTAGCTGTGCTAAAAATACTCAAAATAAAGGATGGAAATCCAAATGTCTTTGAACTGAAAACTTTAAAAGTTATCGCCATTTCACCGATAACTATTTTACACGATAAATAGATAGGTATGTATGTCTAATGACTTTTCAGCAAAAGTAATATTAGCAAGATGATAAAGCCGAATAATCTTTTCAATATCCAAGTGGTCGTAAACGATGTACAATTGTGATCTCGGCTTCAAGAGGCCAATTGCCTCACACTGGCGTAATTTGTACTTCTCGAACGTTCCTTATATGCAATGTGGATGAATATCGGGCAGATATTAAAATATACATTATCCATTCTTCTAGCCTAGTACCTAGGCCTAGTATAGGTACGATATATGGTATCCAGTCACCATCTTTTTCATCAGCCTGTAAGTGCCCACTGTTAAGTAAAGGTCTCTTCTCACACGAAGCAGGTTTGAGTATCAACTACTAAGCTTGTTCAAGGAGGATTGGTAATTTCAACCTTATAATTAGAAATTATAAGTTTAGGTTTCTGCACGCGTTTATCCTTTACCGCATGTCAGTGTTGTTTAAAATGAGAATCATGCATGATATGCCCTCTGAACGGACCCACCCCTTAACCTTCAGCCCACCATTCTTCTGGTAACGACTACGTGACTAGTAAAGCTATTAAATCCCTATTACCTTTTATTTTAGATGCTTTAACACAAATCCTTAAAGTACTTAAATATGTACTTATCCGTTAAAACCAACAGGAAGCCGAATTATAAAACTGCTGATACCTACAATGGAGATTATTAAACAACATTGCAATTAGCATAATACTGGGAGTGATAGCAGAAACAACTTGCTCACAACAACAAATTAATTTTTAGCCCTCGAAATGTACTCAGAAACACTGTTTTTTACGATAATAAAACAATCAGCTTAGCAATATTGTAATTACTTAGCAATTTATCGACTGTATAATAATTATTTTAAGATAGGGCAGTACACAGCTGACGTAAAACTGCATAAGTATTTAAGAAATAAGTATATCCTTTTAATTATTGATTTATTTATATGTTAAATGAATCGCTACGAATTAAGTGATAGAATATGACACCCACTTACTTGTGTCGTTTTTTATTATTATTATGGACGTCAAAAAAGGCCTAGATATGTAGTATGTATGTTTGTTACTTCTTCACGTAAAACTACTGAACAGAACCGAATGAAACATGGCATAGAAATAGGCTATCTGGTACTGCGACTGAAGACACTGGCAAACCTAAGTACTATTTTGAAAACAAAACAAGACAAAAGCCTTGGAAAAATCTGAGCAAAGAGGATCTTAATTAAATCAGAATTTGGTAAAACTTAACCGTTGTTATCTATCTGTATGTCCAG